TGGGTCTTTTATCTTTTTTTCTTGGTTAGTATAGCTAATGGTTTGTCAATTTTGTTTATCTTCTCAAAAGAACCAACTTGTTGTTTGATCTTTTGTATTGTATTTTTAGTCTCAATTTCATTTATTTCTGCTCTGAGTTTTATTATTTATTTCTACTTATTTTGGACTTGGTTGGTTCTCTCTTTGCTAGGTTGTTTATTTGAACTCATTCTATTTTTTGATGTAGGCACTTGTTGCTATAAACTTTCCTCTTAATAGTGCCTTGGCTGTGTCCCGTAGGTTTTGGTATCTTTTGTTTCTGTCTTCACTTATTCAAGAAATGTTTTGATTTCCTTCTTAATCTCTTCTATGACCCACTGGTCCTTCAAGAGCATGTCATTTAATTTCCATGTATTTGTGCATTTTTGAAAGCTCCTCTTGTTATTAAGATCTAGATCTATTCCATTATGGTCAGAAAACATACTTGATATGATTTTGAACTTGTTGAGACTTATTTTGCGGCCCACAATATGGTCAATTCTGGAAAATGTTCCATGTGCAGATGAAAAGAGTATGTATTCTGCAGCTATTGGATGAAATGCTCTGCAAATATCTGTTAGGTCCAGCTGGTGTATGGTGCCCTTTAAGTCCAATGTTTTGTTGTTGATTTTCTGTCTCGATGATTTGTCTAACACTGAGATTGGGATGTTATTGTCCCCAACTATTACTGTGTTAGTGTCTATCTCTCCATTTACATCTGATAATATTTATTTTATATACCTGGGTGCTCCACTGTTAGGTGCATATATATTTGTTTTTTGGGGTTTTTTTTTGATGGCTAGCCATGGTGCGTAAATTTTTATAATTGTTATATCCTCTTGCTGTATTGATCTCTTTATCATTCTATAATGCCCTTCCTTTCTCTTAGTACAGATTTTGATTTAAAGTCTGTTTTATCTGAGATAAGTATAGCTACTTCTGCTTGCTTTTGTTTTCCATTTGCATGGAATACCTCATTCCATTCCTTGACTTTCAGTCTATGTGTGTTTTTGTAAGTAGGGTATGTTTCTTATTGGCAGTATATGGATGGGTCATGTTTTTTTTCTTTTTTAATCTATTAGGCCAGTCTATGTCTTTTAATTAGGGCATTTAATCCATTTACATTCAAGGTTATCATTGATATGTGAAGTCTTGCTCCTGACATTTTGTTGGTGACTGTTTTGTATTCTTTGTTCCTTTCTTTCTCTTTTATTGTTTATCCTTGTGGTTTGATATTTTCCTGTATTGATAAGGTTTGATTCCTTCATCTTTCTAATTTGTGTATCTACTCTACTAGTAATTTTATATTTTCAGGTGTTTTCATGATGTTTGCTGTACTTTCTCTTCTAGATGGAGCCCCCTAATCATTTTTTTTTTGTGGGGCTGGTCTGGTGGTGATGAATTCCCTGAATTTTTTCTTCTCTTAGAAAGACTATTTCTCCTTCATTTTGGAAGGATAGCATTGCTGGATATAATATTCTTGGCTGGCAGTTTTTTTTTTTTCAGTACTTTGAATATACCATCCCATTCTCTCCTAGCCTGTAGGGTTTCAGCTGAGAAGTCTGCTGTTAGTCTAATGATAATTTCCTTATAAGTGACTTGATGTTTTTCTCTTGCTGTTTTTAGAATTCTCTCTTTGTCTTTAACTTTGGATAGTTTGACTACAATGTGGCTTGGAGTGGGCCCTTTTGGGTTGAATTTATTTGAGGACCTCTGAGCTTCCAGTATTTGGAAATTCATATATTTCCTAAGACTGGGGAAGTTTTCAGCTATTATTTCATTAAATAGGTTTTCAGTATCTTTTTCGTTTTCTTCTCTTTCTGGAATGCCCATAATTAGAATATTTCCTCACTTATAACATAGATCCTATAGGCTTTGTTCGTTCTTTTTTTTTGTCTTCCTGTGTTATTTCAAAACTGCTATCTTCCAGATCAGAAATTCTTTCTTCTGCTTAATCTAGTCTGTTGTTGAGACTCTCAGATGTTATTTTTTATTTTGTTCAATGAATTCTTTAATTCCAAGATTTGATTTTTTAAATGATATTTATCTCTGTTGAATTTCTCATTCAGATCAAGAATTATTTTTCATGATTTTGTTGAATTGTTTGTTTATATACTCTTGTATCTCAGTGAGTTTCCTTAAGATTATTAATTTGAATTCCTTTTCTGGTAAAACAGCAATTTCTGACTCTTTGGGATCAGTTACTGAAGTATTATTGCGTTTCTTTGATTGTGTCATGTTACCTTGTTTTTTTCATATTTCTTGTTACCCTGCATTGATATCTGTGCATCTGGTAGAACACTCCCCTCTTTGAGTTTTGTAGAGTGGCTTGTGTGGGGAAAGACTTTCACCTGCAAGTGTATTCTAGGGTGTTGATCAGCAGCTGGTCTGCCAAGGGTCAGGCTACTGAGCCACTTCTTGGATAGTGGGCAAGGTCTCTAGGCAGGCCTGCAGAGGGAGCTCAGCCAGCCACTTCTCAGGTGGTGGGCAAGGCTGAATGTGGGGCTGCAGAGAGCAGGTCTGGCCAATAGCTTTTTGGGTAGTGGATGAGGCTGCTAGGTAGGCCTGCAGAGAGGGGGCCCAGGCAGCTACTTCTCAGAGGGTGGGTGAGGCCATGAGGTGGGGCTTCAGAGAGGGTTTGTCCAGCCAGCAGCTTCACGGGTGGTGGGTGAGGCCGCTGGGTGGAACTGCTGAGGATGAACTGCCTGGCTGCTTCTCTGGAAAGGCGCAGCAGTTTGATGCAATCTTTAGTGTTAGGAGTCAATGATGAGGTCGAACTTTAGAAAACCAATTCAGTTTTGGAAAATCAAAAACTTTCCAAGCTCCACCACCACATCTGGCTGCCTACCTGCATGTGCACCCCTGAATTCTACCTTCTGTCCCAGGACCTTGGATGAACGAGCTGCGGGCTCCTGGCTGCAGTCACAGCACCAGAGCACTACAGCTCACCGTCCTGTCTACAGTAGGACACAGCTCCAGTTACTCCCCACTCTCCTGGATCATCAGTTTTTCTCTCCCACACCAGCTTACACATATTATTCTTACATCTTAAAAGAAAAAAGAAAAAAACTCAGCCTCACTTCTCTTCAGCTACTGTCCCACTTTCTCTCTTCTGTCTCCCAATTCTTTCCTCCCATTCTCTCTCTAACTCACTCTAACCAGGCTTTCGCCCTCACCTCTCCATTAAAAAGATGATGGTCAAGGTCACTGGTGATCTGGTCATTGCTAAATTCAATGACCAGGTCTCAGTTTTTATTTTACTGCATCTATCAGCAGCTGTTTTTACTCCTTCTTCTTCACCTTTCAGAGCACCTGGTTTCCTTCGTGCATCTCAATGGCTGCTCCCCTCAGTCTCCCTGGCAGATTCAGCCTCATCCCCCTGGATGGTCTTCATCCCCCTCTACGTTGATCTTCTCTTCTCTCTCTACACTAATTCTCTTGATGATTTAATATGCGCTCATAATTTTAAATGGTATCTGAATGCTGTTGATTCCCCATTCATAAACCCAGCCTGGGTCTCTTCCCTGAACTTAGATTCATATGTCTAACTGCCTCCCTGGCCTTCCATCCATGTCCAATGTGGACATCTTACCTTAATGTCGCCACAGAGGAACTCCTGACTGTCCCCCCAACGCAGCCTCCCATCCCCTTCCCCATTTCAGTGAGTGCAAAAGCGGTCCTTCTAGTTGCTCAGGGTAAGAACCTTGGAGTCACCCATGATTGCTGTCTTTTTCTTATGTTCCCTCCCAAGCAGCAAATTATACTGGTTCTACCTTCGTTCCTTTGCCCAAATCCATCATTCCCTACATCCCCACTGCTAACACTAAGGCCCACTGCCATCACCCTTAACTGAAATCCTTGGCAATCTCCTATGCTTGGTGCTGTGGAGTGCCTCCACAGGTCCCCTTCACGACCGAAGCTGCTGGGAGTGTCACCGTTTCTGAGTCCCTCCCTGGAAACCGTCCTCAGCCAAGGTTGTGATCCCTCCCTGGGGGCATCCCATATCCAGTGGTTGGTCTCTGTGGGGGTACAAAGCCTGGTCTCCTTGACTTGATTTAGAGCACTTCTGATGGCTACCCCAGCTCAGCACTCCTTCTGAGATCGTCTGAGGACTCTGCTGTGTCCACCTCACAGCTCAATGATTCCCTCTGCCAGGTCCTGCCTCCCTCACTCCCTTACAGGTGTTGTTCCCAAGGGGACTTCCCAACAAGCTTCCTGAAAACAAATTTCCATCTAGAGTCTGTTTTCCAGGGAACTTAACGTATTATGTCTCCTCACTGGTCCTCTTCAGACTGTTCTCAACAGGTGGCCATCCTGTTAAAACACAGGTCTAATTGTATTGCTCCTCTGCTAAACATCTAGAGGCTTCTGTGTCACCCAGAGTTAAGGACAGCATGTCCTGTGTCCTGATGTGAGCCTCCCCACAACTTCTCAACCCAGTCTCCTCCCACTCTCCCCCTTTGCAATCTGCCCAGCTACAGTGGCCTCCTTGATGTATATGAGGTTCCCACCTCAGGGCCTTTACATGTGCTTTTTCTCTGCCAGGAATAAGCATCCCCCAGATGTCCACACAGTTAGTCCCTTACTTCCTCAGGTCTGTACTAGGTGTCGCCTTCTCAGTGAGGCTTTCCTTGGCCATCCTGTCTACAGGTTCAAACTCCTCTTCCTGTGCAGCTCCTGTCCCCTCCTACTTTGATTTTTCTATCACCATCTAACATTATGTACTTTACTCATTTATCATGTTTGTTGCCTATTCCCCCAATACAACATAGGCTCCATAAGAACAGAGCTTTTGAATTGTCATTGCTGGATGCCCGGAACCCAGAACAGTCCCTGGCATGGATGTGGTGCTCAATAAATATGTGTTGAATAAATGAATTTTAGAAATGTACAAGTTTTGTTAGTTCTTGCAACTGCAATCAAATTCTCATTTATTATTTACATCTGTTTAGTTTAAGCATTGTAAAACAACAAAAACATACCTGGGCTACAAAGTCTATTATTTCTCCCTTGATGTGAACATCCTCAAGAGGAACCAAATTCCCAGAGGTATCCTGAAGGCCGGACTTGATGCTGCTGGAAGGCTTGGTGTCTGGTAACTGGTAATCTACACGTTGAAAATGGTAACGTTAGCTTTTAAAGCCATCCCTGCACTATTTTTAACTTGATCTTTATTCCTTCTCCATCCCTTCATATACTACATTTTAGAAAAAAATGGACAAATAGCATTTTATGATTTTCAATAGCCAATTCTGAAAAGTAAGTGAATCCACATGAGAAAAATGGGGGGAGCATTCTCAGATACTTCTGCCTTTTTAATCTAGAGGCTTTGAGGTGTCATCTTGAGAACCTAGAATCATGTTATTACTTGAAAGACATACACACAAATACACAGAGGTCTTAAAATTATCTCAAAAGTGTAGCTAAATCATGAGTCCAGCTTCCTGCATTCCCTGGCTTGTGATGTTGGTCAGTCTATTATTTATTGTGCCACAAAGGCATTTTGGAACAATATGAAACTAGTCTAAGAAAAACAAAATCAAACTCCTACTACAGCATATTGAGAAATGTTCACTTCCTCTATTAAGTGGTACAAAAAACTAAATATGGTTAGAAATAAAAATATATACTGTCTTGCCAGATATTTCATTTAATGACTCCCAGAGAAAAAAATGGAATTATCTCCTTAAACATACATGAACTCATATAGTTCTGATAAAAATAATTAGATCACAGTGAAAAATGTTAATGTGTCTTTACAGTCCTATTAATTAATGATATCGTAGTTGGAAGCTCCCATCCTCACGTGCACTTGTACTTACTACTACAAATACACAAGACACACATTACAGTTCCAGAGAACCTTCACTTTTCTCATTTAATCCTATAGCAACACTGTGACACAGACATTGCTCTCATTCCCGTCTGGGAGAAGGTGAAATTCAGGAAGGTTATAAGCGTTGTCCGAGATTACACAGCCTCAGCAGCAAGGTTGATGCTCAAACCTGAGCTTCCTGACTCTAAAGCTGTGTCTTCTTTCTACTCTACCCATGCCCTTAGTACTTTTTGCATTCTGATGTCTTAAAATGGTTCCACGTTTTTTAGTATTGGCTGTCCCCGAGCACAAGCTCAACTTAGGTATGTTAATGAAGTAACATGGAATTTTGAGATTACTTAAAAACCAGGACACTTGAAAAAGGTTATGTATGCAAAATAAAAAAGAAAATGAAATATTTATGTCTGAGGTCATAGATACAGATACCAAATATGAATATAAATTCCACTGAAAATAGAACTTTGAATTCTATAAATATTACTACACAAAACAGAATTCAAGAAAATTGTCTTACCTTCAACCTTTGAAAAATTTGAAAACTCAGGTCTGTATTCCTCTAATTCAGTATTATCACAAGGATGAAAGTCCTTTATTTGATCTCCAGGCAAGCAAAATTTAATAATATATTTCATTTTAACCTGATTGGTTTTATATACAACAAATTCATCATCCTAGGGTAAACAGAAATTAATAGGTGGTTAAAACACCACAACCACAAGCCTTTATTGGCAGATGCTCCCATAAAAGCAGAATTTCATATTTTCTAATTTAGAAAATATTGAACTCGAGCAGTAGAAATATACAATAATTATTTAAACTTAAGCATATTTAATAAAAGCAGGAACAAAAAACTGAGGCTGTTCTTTGGTCACTGAGGACCCTCTTTGCCTGTTTCTCGATATAAAATACCTCAAAGTCCGTGGTGACAGAGTCTGCTTCTGAAACTCCGTGCACACTGTCATAGCCCGGTGGTGCTTCAATTAAGGAAAAGTCTTTCTTATAAAAGTCCTTACACTTTCCGAGGGCCACGTCACAAATGACCAGGAGTCTGGTGCCATCTATCTCTCCTGGGTGTGAGTACTTAATACTCGTACTGCATGTGAAAAGAAATGAGCACATATTTATAACAGTTACTTAAAATTTTTACATAACAAACGTATTTTGTTTAGTTTGCCTTAGTTGTGCCAGGCAGTGCTCAAAGCACTTTATGCCCAGGGAGACATTAATTCTACTGTTCACCCAAATCTTTGTAAGCTACTAAAATATACACATTTTGCTACAGAAAACACCGGAGTAGTGAAAGAGAGGGGGGAAAAAAAACCCTACTTTATTAATTAGGAGAAAATAGATTTAATTCTCTGCAGTAAAGCTCTGAAAGAAAATTAAATGTGAATGAGAAGCAGCTGGAGGGAAAGACAGACATTACATTCTCACACGCCTTTTTTTTTTTTTTCTTTTTTTCCTTTTTTTAAAAAAAAGATGACCGGTAAGGGGCTCTTGTCCCTTGACTTGGTGTTGTCAGCACCACACTCTCCCAAGTGAGCCACGGGCCAGCCCTTCTCAAACGCCTTCTGAATGCGCACAGAAAAACACTAATTTCAAATGACACCCAGATAAGAAATGCTTTAATAAAGCAACTCTTGCTATTAGGGTTACAGAATAGGATGCACCTTTGGGGCAACATTTTTAGGACACATCTTTGTTTTTTCTTAAAAGATCAAGACCAAAATGTAAGATGTTGCTGGAGAACGCTTCTTTGTTCCACCCCCTAAGGCTTGCGCTTTAAAAAAAAAAAACTATTTCCTTCATTCTTCCCACAAACCTCCCCTCTTTCCCTGTCATCGTGCCCAACCCTGACTTTGCCCTCAGTCTCTGTCCCTGTCCAGCTCCGTCCTTTCCCGCCATGCTCCCGACAGGATTCCAGCGACCGCCTCTTACTCTGTACTGATCCCTGCACCAGGCAGCGTGCTCTACTCAGCTTCTCCACTGCAGCCCTCTACTGGAAATCCCCGAGGACTTCGCCTGTGTCGAAATCAACTGAATGCCAACCTATTTAAAAATATGTTGTAACGTCTAAAAATTTTTACTTTGAAATATTTTATTCATAGCAAAGGGCATTTATAATGTAAATGTTTAAAGAATAATAAGACAACGCTTACATAGCTACTGCCTTGCTTAAGCAGCAGAACACCAACAATATTTCCAGACCACCCCCCAGCATCACCTTCTCCCCCACCCAGAGGTTATCCAATCACTGCCTTGATTTCGTGTAAATTATTTTCTTTCTTTTGTAGTATTGATGCATAGGTATGTGCCCCTCAACAATGTAATGTTTAGTTTTGATTGTTTTTGAACTATGCATATACGTACGATCATACAGTACTTTTTGTTCCACTAGATTGCTAAGGCTCCTCCATTAGACATGTGTAGCTGCAGTCCAGTTGTTTAAACTGCAGAACAGAACTCCATGTTGGACTCCACCCAAATTTACAGATCCATTTCACTGTCGATGGACCATCAACATCATTTCCAGGGCTCTGTGTTCTTAATCATTCTTGTACACAAATCCTGTACATGTGCACTAGAACTTTTCTAGGGTAGTGATCTCAACCCTGGAGGCACACTAAAATCACCAGGGCGCTTAGAAGGTACTGATAACCAAGCCTGCCCCTAAGAGATCCTGATTTAACTGGTCTGGGGTGAAATCAGCACCAGCAGTGTTTATTAGCTCCACAGGCGATTCCAATGTGCAGCCAAGTGAGAACCACTGCTTCCTGGTTCATAGGTCAATAAACAGGGTTCCACCAGATGATACCAGAACTTTCTCAAGAGGGTTTATCAATTCATACTCTTACCAGCAGTGTTTGAGAGTTCAGATTGTTTGAGTGACTCACCGACATCTAGAGATACTAAAATTATTTTTTATCTTTGTCAATCAGATAGGTGTTAAATGGTATCTCATTATGGTTCAATTTGCATGTTCTTCATTACTAATCTTCTTTTCAAATGTTACTGTCCATGTATGTGTCCCCTTCTATTAGGTTCCCATTCATGTCTTTTGCCCGTTTGCTTATAAGGTTATTAAGAAAAATGATTCGTAGGAACTCTTTAAATATTCTAGATAACTATCCTTTGTCCTGGGCCTGAATCCGAGCTCCATCATTTAACTAGTTCTGTGACCTCAGGCAAGTTACTTAACTTCCTGAGTCTGTTTCCTTTTGATAAAATGATGTCCCGATACCAACTGTGAGGTTGACAGACAATGTACATCAAGCACCTCGCCTGGCACGTAGGTCAGATGCGCATTCAATACGTTGTGACTATAATGAGGGGCAGATTTAAATATTAACAAGGATACTGAAGATGAAATAGTCTTCCAGGCATATCGAGGTCATATGTAGGAGATAAACTGTTCAGAGGAGAAAGACTGACTAGAAAGGCTGAGTCCTACCTATGTCCTATTTCAGCTGCATGACCCAAGGCAAGATGCCCACCCTTGCTGTCCCTCCGTGCCCCCATCTGTGATATGGGGATAGTAACAGGACTCACATCAGGGGGTGGTTATCAGGATTTGGTGAGAAAACACATGTAAAAGCTCTTAGAAGAGTAAAATCACTAAGATGATTTCAAATATAATTTTCCCAAATATTCACCACAAAAGACATGTTTCTGCAGTAAACAGATGGTTCCCAACTTACGATGGTCTGAACTACGATTTCTCGACTTTACGATCAAGCAAAAGTGATGAGCATCTAGTAGAGTCAGTGCTTTGCACACCCACACAAACTTCTCTTCTTCCCTTTCAGCCCAGTATTCAATCAACATGAGACATTCAACACTTTACTACAAAGTACGCTGTGTTAGATGACTTTGCCCCTGTAAGCTGATGTTAGTGCTCTGAGCACATTTAAGCTTGGCTAGGCTAAGCTGTGATATTTGGTAAGACAGGCATTAAACTCATTTTCAACTTGTAGTATTTTCATCTTGTGATAGGTTTATCGAGACATAAACCCATCGTAAGTTGAGGAGCATCTGCACTCAGAAAACTATTACTTTAAAAAATCTGTTTCTTGGGTGAGAAACTCCCTCACCAGGGAAAGACAGAAGAAAACACAGAGCAAGTACTCAGTAATGATTCCTTCATCAAGGATAGAACATACTAACCTGAGTGAATCACTGAAATAAATCCCACTGCCAAGATTTCCAACATCTGTTCTTTGCATACCACGATCTTCAACTACTCTGGGTAAAAGCAACCCTCTAAAAAGAAAGGGCATTATAATGATTTTCTAGAAAAAAGGAATCTTTTAGTATTGCCTCGTAGTTCTAGCCGAGACAGGTGCTATTTAAAAAGCATGAAATGAAAAGAAAAATACATTTCATAGTAATCCCCCAGAGGAGCTCCAGGAGCCGTTAAAATGTCACAAGCTATGGCCAGTTTGTCATCACTGTCCTGACCGTCCTGGGCTGCAAGCCATACTTCCTGCCTCCTCCAAGGTGAGGCCTCAGTGCTCAGCAGGATGAGCTGTGTGCCTGACTGAGTCAGCGTCTGTCCCTTGCTCAGGAAATGATGCAGGTCCTGCTGTATTCAGCATTCAGAGAACTCTTGAAGTCAAAACAAAACTGCAGTTATCTCTGGGAAGGCGGGTAAAGGGAGACTTCTACCTTTTAGTATACAAACATCTATTGTTTGAATTTTGTATTAGGGGATTGAATTAATTTTACAAAATGGCTTTTGGGTTTTGGTCCTACTCAGGCCATTCCCAAAATAATCTTTTGATTATTTAAAAAAACATTCTCCCATTTTTCATTTAGTACTTTCATGGCTTCATTTTAAATATTTAAATGTTTGCTCTATCTGGAGCGTAAGCAGCTCATCACGCATTTATTCCTACGTGGAGTACTGAAAAAGTTTTCTTTCTTTCACAGAGATAAAAGCTACTTCTAGCATATCCTAAATCTTCTATGTTTTTTAGTTTATTTCTTCTCAGTTTTGAGTCTGTATTTATTTATTCTGTTGATTAATCTATTTATCATCTATTTATGATCATCTCACTGTTTCATTAGTATAGTTTTATAACATGTTTTAATGTCTGATTGGTTAATCCTCCCTCATAATTCTTTAAGAATTATCCTGGTAAAAAAATTTTATAAAATTTTTTATAAAAATGTGCTGTAGAATCAGCTTTTTATACCTTAAAAAAATCTTATCGGTATAGCACTAAATTTATAGATTAATTCAAGGAAAACTGGCATCCTTCTGACTAATGCAACTTGTCTTCTGGGTCCCTAAGAGAAGTGTAAAGGTTTTTTCCAGATGTATCATATACATTTCTTTCTAAGTTTCTTCTTAAGCACTTAATGAATCTAAATTTACTCATATTTTCCCCTGCCCCTGTGACTTTAGTTTCAGCCCTAATATTAAGTGGTTATTCAAAGCAAATGGAAAATTAGACTAACGTTTTGAATAAAAAATACACACTATCTGGGCACTCAAATCTCTAGACCTTTAAGTATTGGGCTGTCCCTAGATTAGATACACATGGAAGAGTCATGAAATATAGAATCACTTTTCTTCATAAGACACGTCATCAAAAAGCAGTTCATACTCATGTACTACACTTTAAAAAATACATAATTTAAATGACATACTTAAAGTGTATAATTTTCTCCAGAATGCAATAAGTTGGCTGATTTTAACTGAAAAGATCTACACTGTATAGAAAAAAGTAGGAAAAAAAAAAAAAAAGCAAAATATTTCACATTTGTGAGACTGAAAATTTTGAAAAATAAAGATGTTTTACTCTTACCGGGACAAGATTCCTACAATGTTTCGTACAGGAGATCCATGCAACAAAGGCCTCACATTGCCAAGTTTACTCAAAAACTCTGTGGTTTCATTCATTCTGCCAACTCTAAATATCTGCAAGATTTCCACGGGACTTTTACTGTAAGAATTAGAAGAAAAACATTGAGATTACATAATTGGAAGCAAAACAAAAAATCATTATTAGCAGAAGAAATCCTGAAATAACCCAGATGTCCATTATCAGGGAACTGATTCAATGAATCACAGGACAATATATCTTGCAAATATTATGCAGCTATTAAAAAAAAAAATCATATTCCTTGTACTGGACAGCTGCCAAAAAAAATAAATCACATTCTCAAAAAAATAAATAAGGATATGATGTAAACCTTACAGTAAAAGATAAAAATTAAAAGTAAGTTATAAAACTTTATGCATAGTATGATCCAATCTTGTCAAATATAAAATATATAGAATACAGTTTCATTCATAGATTTTATATAAGTGAATGAACCCATTCAATCTGTTTTCATATATGTATGTGGAATGAAACTGTATATGTAAATGAAATGAATAAATGAGGGTACTTCAGAAAGTTCATGAAAAGGGCCGGCCCGGTGGTGCACTGCTACAGTGCGCCGCTTGGGAGTGTGGCGGCGCTCCCGCCGAGGGTTCGGATCCCACATACAGACCGGCTGCTCACTGGCTGAGCGAGGTGCGGGCGCAACACCGAGGGTTGCGATCCCGTTGCTGGTCCCGGTCCGGTACAGGCGCGACACTGAGGGTTGCGATCCGTTGCCGGTCACGAAAAAAGACAAAAAGGAAAAAAAAAAAAAAGAAAGAAAGTTCATGAAAAGATTTATATTATCTTCTACTTTTCCATGAAGTACTCTCATATACACAGTTTCATTATGCGCATATATGTCACCTATACATATACAGTTTCATTTCATTATATATATATGAAAACAGATTGAATGGGTTCATCCAGTCACGTGTGCATTCATTCAACAAATGTCATCTTTGCCAAATACTACATTACGCCAGGCATTGGACACAACATAACATGGTCTCTGTGGGCCTGCCCGTGGCTCACTCGGGAGAGTGCAGTGCTGATAACACCAAGGCCCCGGGTTCGGAGGATCCCTATATAGGGATGGCCGGTTTGCTCACTGGCTCAGTGTGGTGCTGACAACACCAAGTCAAGGGTTGAGATCCCCTTACCGGTCATCTTAAAAAAAAAAACAAAAAAACAAAAAAACATGGTCTCTGGCTGCATGGAGCTCACATTCTAATAAGAAAGACAAAAATTAAGAAATTACCAAATACCTTAATTTAAGTGGTACTAAGGAAACCAACCAGGTTCAGAGAGGAGGTGGTCAAGAAAGGCCTCTCTTGGGAGGTAACATTTATTGGAATATGACATGATACAATGTATATTTTAAAATCTAACTGGATATCATGGGAAGGTAGGTTGGATGGGGCCGGTGTGGAAAAGAACGTCAGGAAGGATGTTGTGGCAGCAGAGTAGACGGATGCTGTGGACTGGACTAAAGGTGGCAGCAGAGGAAAGAAGCCAGTGAAGGAAAGACGCTTTGGAGGCAGAACGGACAAGTGATGTGATGATGTGGGGATGAGGGTGTGGAGAGTCCACAATGGCTCTGGGGAGCGGGGGCCTGTGATGAGGAGGGAGCGGAGAGACAGGATACTGCTGAGGGCCAGTGCTGTTGGTGTACAACCCCACTGTGACATCAGCTATGGCAGGAGCATGCACTCCCCAGAAATCAGAAAATACTACAAATCAGAGACTTTTATTTCAGAGAACTGGCTTACCAGCACAGTACTGGGTGGGGAGAAGAATCAGTAAGTCAACCTGGGACATGTTCTACACCACAATTTTAGCAGTGATTATATTATCTCTGGGATATCTCTGGGTGGTGAGATTTGGGGTAATAATAACTTTCCTCATATTTGTACATATTTTCTAAATTTTCAGCAAAAAACAAAGATTTTATAATTAGAAAACAATTACCACGAAGAAATCATTATTAGTGAAATGAAACGAAGAAAAATCTAATTTTTCACAGCAGCAGAATCTCTCCCTAGGGAGAGGCCCACTTCTGTTGCACGAATACCTTGGTACTTGGGTGGGTGGAGTTGGTGGCTGAACTGCATCTGGCCTTCCCGTCCCCCCACTCACTCCCCCTGATTCTACCTTCATTGTCACTAGGCTCTTAATTAGTATCAGATGCCAGCAGACACCTAGGGGAGGGTCAAAAGCCAAATCAAAAGAAATCAAAAGATTTGATTATATATAAAATAACATCAGGAAAAGATCTGTGGGAATGGATTTTTAAAAACTCAAGAGACAAAATTCACATAACATAAAATGAAACATTATAAGTGTACAGTTCAGGGTATTTAGTTTGTTCAGAATGTGTGACCACCACCTCTATCTAGTTCCAAAACATTATTATTTTTTTTCCTTTTTGTCTTTTTTCGTGACCGGCAACGGATCGCAACCCTCAGTGTCGCGCCCATACCGGACTGGGACCGGCAACGGGATCGCAACCCTCGGTGTTGCGCCCGCACCTCACTCAGCCAGTGAGCGGCCGGTCTGTATGTGGGATCTGAACCCTCGGCGGGAGCGCCGCAGCACTCCCAAGCGCCGCACTGTAGCAGTGCGCCACCGGGCCGGCCCCCAAAACATGTACCGGACCGGGACCGGCAACGGGATCGCAACCCTCGGTGTTGCGCCCGCACCTCACTCAGCCAGTGAGCGGCCGGTCTGTATGTGGGATCTGAACCCTCGGCGGGAGCGCCGCAGCACTCCCAAGCGCCGCACTGTAGCAGTGCGCCACCGGGCCGGCCCCCAAAACATTTTAATCACTCCAAAAGAAAACCCTATACCCATTTAGCAGTCAGTCTCCCTTCCTCCCATGGCACCAGGCAATTTGCTGTCTCTATGGTTTTATCTATTGTAGATATTTCAGATAAATGGAATATATTTCATATATTATATTTCCTATAAATGGAATCATACAATATATGGCTTCTTTCACAAACTAATGTCTTTGAGGTCCACCCATGTTGTAGGACGTATAAGTACTTCACTCCTTTTTTTTAATGGCTCAATAACATACCATGGTAGGTATGTACCACATTTTGTTCCACTGATGGACATTTGGGTTGTTTGCACCTTTTGGCCCTTGTGAATTAATGCTGCCATGAACAATCATGTACACTAATGTTTGGGTACTTGGTTTCAATTCTTTGGGCACACAAGGGGGATGGCAATTACTGGGTCATATAGTGGCTCTATGTTCAATTTGTTGCGGAATTGCCAAACAGCAGCTGCACTGTTTTTCATTCCCATTATTAACGTGTGAGGGTTTCCAGTCTCCCCACATCCTCACCAACAGTTATGATTTTCCATTTGTTAAAAAAACTATAGCTATCTTAGTGGGTGTGAAGTGGTACTGGGAATGGATTTAGAGGATGACTGACCAAGGAAAGCAGAACATACTTTTATATAGGTTCCAATTAGTCCACAACGGAGGAGGGGCTGGGGTCGTTCTAGGGGGGTCATGTAAAACCAGCTCTCAAAAAACCGGCAACAACGACCCCCCGCATCGCCGCCACATTTGCTGATTTCCATGGTGCAAATCCTCCCATTGTGGCTGATTTCAAGCTAGCAATGGTTTAACAATCAGTTCACAAAATTCGTAAAAATTGGACAGTTGGCTCTTATCTGCTGGTGCGCAGCAGCAACACGCCCCTGTGGCTTCTAAGAGTGTGCGAGGCTCGTGAAGGAGAAACCTAGCCCACAAAGAGGAGATCCGAGAAGCCGGGAATGCTGAGAGCAAAGCTGCAGGGCTGAGGACAGCTGCGGTGGAAGGAGCCCCGGGCGCCAGGCCCACCTTGCAGGATGAGCGCCGGGGAGGAAGTGCACCGAGGTTGGGGGCTGCGTAAGCAGCTGCTGCACACATATTCCTGCATGTTTAAATTTTAATTTAAATGGACTTTCCTCTCTAATGCCCTTCAAAACACAAACTCAAACAATTTTGATTTAAAATTTTTAGATTTAATCCTCAACAAGATTAGGCAACCTTGAAATCAGTGTGGAACAGTAGGGAGTGTCTTCAGTACAGAATAGTGGCCCAGGCCCTGTTGTGACACAGAGGAAAGTGACCCATCATCACACTGTAACTATCTTGTTACTGAGGGTTGAATTATCTACGTCGTTATGTTTTTTTTGGGGGGTAGGGGGGCTGGCCGGTAGGGCACAGGGATCCAAACCCTGGACCTTGGTGTTATCACACCATGTAAGTGATCACCACGATGGGCTTTTTAACAGAATCTCCAAGTGCATTACATGACAACAGATCCTAAGATATCTCCTTTATGCTTACCTGCGATTATTCTTCAACACCTCTTTCCTAACCCTGGAAAATTCTTCAGTATTCTGTTCAACATGCTCAATTTTACATCTCAAAGCTTGGTATTTGGCAAGAGATGGTGGGTTGGGTTTGGACAAATTAGTTTCACAGACATTAACCATGTCTCTTATTAGCTGTAGGTGGAAATGATACACAGATGTTAGAATCATCACATACCAAAATTAATATTTATATTACCATGACACTTTCTCAAAAAAATTGGAAAAATCAGTTTCAGTTTTTTCATCAAAGTTTTGATCAATATTTGTTGTTAGTGAGGTATTAAACTTAATACTGCTGCATCACTAATAGCACAATATACAGTAATAATAATTCTGTACATTAGTACAGCACAATGTTTTTCGGGGGAATAGGAATGATTTTTTCCTATACTTTTTTATTTTGAACAGTGAACACACTTTCTTATAATCTCAAAAATATTATAAAACCATATATGCAAGTAAACCATTATTTTTACAAACGTAAGCAACCCTGAAGCAGTACAATTTCCAGAAGTCTTTCTTTTTCTCCTGTCGCAACATTTGAACCACATGTGGCAGGATGAATGACACACTCAGTTGACAAATTGTTACTGGGCTCTTTACCACAGCTTATGAAACAAAAAGCCAAACCCTCTTCAGTATTTTCTACCCTTAAATAGTTCCATGTAAGTCTTAGGCCACATCATTGCAGTTGAGGTACAAATTCCTAAGAAATGGGATATTAGTTACAAAAAAATCAGACTAGTCCCACTAATATAAACAAAAGTCGAGAAACAAAATCCATAACCTGAAAACATGGATGGGAAACACAAGCAACATGCTCCTTCCCCCCACCTCACATATGGTCACACTGATACTGATGAGATTTGGGGTTTCAAGGTATTTTTCCTTCCTGATTTCATTAAAAGCAAAATAAGAAGCAATGCACTTCTCTAGAATCTTTACAAAACAAAGCAACTATTTTCAAAGTGAGTCATTTTTGTTTAAAAGAACAGTATCAGAAGCAACCTGGAGCCACAGACTTTTAAAAGAACACTCGATGGAAACTGCTGGGAGAGGGTGGGCAGTTGGCTTGCTGCTGTGGTCTTTGGCTAATGGGGCATCAAAATGACATAATCCACAAGACGGCGTCAGCTGCTCACAGCACTTCACCCAGGAATGGATGTCTAGTAGCCCTTGCCAGCTCAGCATAAAAATGGATTATTTTATTGACCACGACAACTTGAGACAGCATCTCAGCTCTGCACATGGAAAGCTTCCTGTTCTCTTTCTCTATTGGTTCTAAGTGCCTCTCCCATCTGTGTGTCTTCAATCTCATGTGCACTAATAAAGCTGAATGCTAAACACTGCAGTGAGTTCATCTTCAAGGGCCTAGAAGCTTTATGAGAACAGAAACCTTTTCTGTTTCTAAAATCAGAGAAGAAAGGTAGCCAGAAAGCTCAGCCTGTGAGATGGTTTGTTTCAAAGGAAGGGTTAACATCTGTGTTCACATCCAGACATGAACTATACCAAAGAGCTCCTCACGGCATGAAATGGGAAGACATTTCACTTAATGTTGCTCAAATCCAACTTTGCCTTTCAGAGGAATCTCTCGGCAGACAAGCCAGCCCTCTACAGCAAGATCCAAGAGAAGTGGAATCACAGTGGCCAGGCCTTTCATCTGGATGGACAACAGTGTGGCCAGGTACCTGTTGCTCCTAAGGGATAAGGTGTTGAGGGAACTACATATGAACTGAGCTTGCTGGGTGGCCGGTGCACTGGAAGGTGGACGTGGCTAGCCAGTCACAGACTGCAGACGCACCGTTAGCCAAAGACCACAGCAGAAGTCAACTGCACCTTCTCCCAGCAGTTTCTATCAAGTGTTCTTTAAAAAGTTTGCTGCTGGGGCCGGCCCGGTGGCGCACTGGATAGTGCGCTGCTTGGGAAGCGCGGCGGCGCTCCCGCCCGAGGGTTCGGATCCCACATACAGACCGGTTCCCGCTCACTGGCTGAGCGAGGCGCGGGAGCAACACCGAGGGTTGCAATCCCGTTGCTGGTCCCGGTCCGGTACGGGGGCAACACTGAGGGTTGCGATCCGTTGCCGGACACGGAAAAAAGACAAAAAAAAAAAAAAAGTTTGCTGCTCCACAAGCAGACACATGCATACGAGAGTGTTGGCAGCTTTCTGATTTTAAACCCTACTACAACACTGTGGCAGGCCCTATGGTTGCAATCCCGTTGCTGGTCCCGGTCCGGTACGGGGGCAACACTGAGGGTTGCGATCCGTTGCCGGACACGGAAAAAAGACAAAAAAAAAAAAAAAGTTTGCTGCTCCACAAGCAGACACATGCATACGAGAGTGTTGGCAGCTTTCTGACATGCTATTTAGCATCTCCGTGAGAAGAACAAACCACTTGACATATTTGCTCTGATAAACAGCATTTTTCTTTTCAACCTTCTGGATAATTTCATGCTCACTAAGAAGAATGTGTGGAATTACTCCAGAGGAGTCCAAGAAACGTACCTCTAGCCAGCTGTTCACATCTTTCTTTTCAAGCTCCACCTGTGAAAATCTGCATTTTGTGGCTTTGAGGCACGGGAAAACATCTACTTGGGAATAAGCTGAGATCGTGAATTGTGTGTTTTTTTTTCACAGCTGGCCAGTATGGGGATCTCAACCAGTGATCTCAGTGTTATAAGACTGTGCTCTAGCCAACTCAGTGAACCTGCCAGCCCTGCGAATGTGTTTTATTTGTGAGCTATGGCAGAAATGCAGATTGACTTAACCTTTCCCTGAAGACAGTCAGGGTGAAGGCACAGCCTTTATGAAGAACAAGGTGACATGGCTCACACAAACATGGTGTCAACCACCAAGTTACTGAAGTTTACATTACTTAACTGCTATGTCCTTCCAAAGTGAGTTAAGACCTCATGCTTCGTCAGAAAAGGACTTGAAGGGAAACTCTTATATGTAAGGTTTACAACTAGCCATAGACAGCCTACAACATGAAATGCACAATCATGTAAAATAAGATATTCTATTACACAGTCACACAATACACACAGCACATTCCGAGTGCATGTGCGTTTGTGTAGAGATGGCACTAAAATTTCTAGCACAGGAATACCTGTTTCCACAATAACTGATGCCCATAAAGATATTTCACAGTCTGAAATCATGGAATTCTAAGAGTTTACATGGGATGTTTAACACAGAACCAGCAATTGGTCCACACAACTCTGAATTATTCACTGTATCTTCAAAGTAGTATGAGCTACTTAAAAGGGAAACTGTAAGGTCTAACAGCACAGGTCTGGGAAGGTGAAAGGGGCATAGACTAAGGCTGCCTGGTAGGTAGGTCAGTGTCCAGGACCTGCTGCCCAGTGAGGAAGCCAGCAGGAAAGCCTGGCTGGGACGGCACCACCTGGGGAGAGGCAGGCACCTGCTGTGTCCACAGGAGGGGGGTCTGGAAGAACCTTCCACACACGTTTCCTCTGGAGGAGGCACTGTGAGTGGTGGCTTTTCAAAAGGCCCTTTGTACTGGTAGCTGTCCTTGGGTTTTGGTGGTTTCAATGGTTGCTGCTGTTTCTTCCAAGAAAAGAGGAGGTGATACACTCCTGTTTCCATCGTCCTTTCTTGCAGTCAATGCCACAGGCAAAAAATGCAGGCACCAAGACACCTGACCAGAGAAGCAGTGACCAGCATTGCACAAAGACCAGGGCTCATGCCAGCACCAGCTTCCACAGGATGCCCCACTTCAAACCAGAGGTTTAGTTCATGTCACAGAAGCACATGCCATGAAGTTACGGTTTCTGATGAACAGATCAGTGTGAAAAATGAAGAGAAGGCTGTATTTCCACAGAAGCAGCTCATCTGGAAAACACCCCAAAGCATCTGATACTGCTTTTTGGATGAAGTTTATCTGGCAGACTCTGATGAACAGGGGAGGCTGGTCTTGATTCAAAAATTAAGATTACTCCCACATTTCCAAGTTTTCAGAGACATTCGGCTTTGGGGGTCTTCATGCTGGGGGGCCTTATCCCTTGCTCACAATCTGTTTAATGGTGTCAAGGAGCTGCAAGCGCCAGGAGGCACAGTGCTCGGGGTGAACGGGGGAGGGCCAGAGCACATCCCTGTCAATAAAGCTTGTTCAGATACATCATTCTTTTAATCCCTACTACAACACTGTGGCAGGCCCTATCATCCTCACTGTACAGCTGAGAAAGTGAGGCTCTGAGAAGTTAAATCAATTGCTCAAGATCCCACAGCGAGGAGGGATAGTGACTGTGATATGATGAAAATATGTATTTGGACTTCGTCCTCCTCTCCTGGCACACAACTCCTAAAATCCTTAGAATCTCCAAAGTGGTAAGAGTCTCTTCATATGCTGACAATGGCTGGCAGCCCCCTAGGTAGCTTCAGGATGGGTCTGGTCGCAGGAAAGCCCAAGACCGGACTGAAGGTTGTGACTTCCAGTCCCACCCACAACCTCCTGAGAGGGGAGAGGGGCTGAAGGTTAATTCGATCACCAGAGGCCAGTGGTTTAATCAATCATGCCTATGTAATGAAGCCTCCATAAAAACCCAAGATGCTGGAGTCTGGACAGCTTCCAGATAGCCAAATACATGGAGATTCCCGGAGGGTGGGCCCAGGGAGGGCATGGAAGCCCCGTGCCCCTCCCCCACACCTCGCGCTATGTGTTTCTTTGTATGTTTTGTAATGCCCTTTATAATAAACTGGTAAACGCAAGTATGGGTTTCCCTGAGTTCTATGAGCCACTAAGCAAATTAATCGAACCCAAGGAAGGGGTTGTGGGAACCCCAATTTATAGCTAGTTGGTTAGAAGTTCTAGAGGCCTGGACTTGTGACTGGCATCTGAGATAGGGGCAGTCCTGGGGACTGAGCCCTCAACCTGGGGGATCTGATGCTCTCCAGGTAGATAGTGTTGGAATTGAATTGGAGGATACCCAGCTAACATCCACTGTGGAATCGATTGCTTGTTTGCTGGTGGAGAGAAATCCCCACACACTTGGTCACAGAAGTTGGTCTTCTGTGATGCTTGTTGTGCATGAGAACAGAGGAAGGAGTGTGTGTTCTTTCCCACTCACACAGTGACTAAATGGGATCTTGGGATCATTAGACTTCAAGTCCA